CTATAGAAAGAAAAATTTTACTTCCAACCAAAAAAAGCCCTGGACCAGATGGTTTTACAAATGAACTTTATCAAACATTCAGAGAAGAACTGTCACCAATTCTACATAAACTATTTCAGAAAATAGAAAAAGATGGAATTCTCCCAGACTCATTCTATGAAGCAAACATATCCTTGATACCAAAGTCAGGAAAAGACACCACCAAAATAGAAAACGATAGGCCAATATCTCTTATGAACATAAATGCAAAAAATCCTGAATAAAATACTGGTCAATAGAATCCAACGATACATCAAAGAAATAATTCACCATGACCAACTGGGATTCATAACAAGTATGCAAGGATGGTTTAACACACGAAAAACAATCAATGTAATTCATCACATTAAAAAGCAAAGAACAAGAACCACATGACCCTATCAATTGATGCAGAAAAGGCCTTTGACAATATCCAACACCCTTTCCTGATTAAAACACTCAGCAAAATATATTAGAGGGGAATTTCTTCAACATAGTAGAAAGTATTTACACAAACTCAAGAGCCAACATTGTTCTCAGTGGAGAGAGATTAAAGGCATTCCCTTTAAGAACAGGAACTAGGCAAGGCTGCCCACTATCACCTCTCTTATTCAATATTGTAGTGGAAGTCTTAGTGATAGCAATAAGACAAAACAAGGAAATAAGAGGTATACAAGTTGGCAAAGAGGAGGTAAAATTATCTCTCCATGCAGGTGATAATGATAGTATACCTAGAAAACCCTAAATACTCAGCAAGAAAACTATTGGACATAGGACATAGTTGACCAGTTCGTAATCAACATACAAAAGTCAGTTGGATTTCTCTACAGTGACAAAGAGAATACAGAACTGGAGCTAAGAAAAACAATACCCTTCAAATAGTTAATCACAAGATTAAATACTTGGGAGTAAATCTAACCAGAAGCACAAAGGATCTATTAAAAGAAAATTACAAAACATCACTACAAGAAACAAAAAGAGACCTG